ATATATATATATATATATATATATATATATATATATATATATATATATATATATATATATGATCATTTTTGATCCCCAAAGATGGCCGCGACGAAGATTTCCCTTCACCGCGCTGGCTTCACACCCTGCGCCCATAAAAATACTTTACGCTACGTCCAGATATTCCTACGTCCATGGTCTTCATGGACGTCAATACTTAACTACATCAATATTTAAGTATTGACTAATACTAGCTCTCAATACTCAGTATTCATCAATATTTAATATTCTTAATACTTTAATTCATCTCTACTTAATACTCTACTTAATACTTTAATTCATCAATACTTAACTCATTCAATACTTCAATATTAATTAATATTAACTCTGAATACTCAGTATTACAACTTCAATACTCAGTATTGAGTTTCAATAGTATTTTTTCGTAAGGGTGGACGTAATGCGCCTTGAGGGATTCCACCATAGAAAGAAGAGGGCATATTAAGTGGCGGCGGGACGCCGTGCGTTCAAGACCTATGTCTTTTTCGTTCCGGAGAGAGAAAAACATTGAGAGCGCAGTCGTAAATCGAGAGCGTTGTCGTAAAATTACGCAACAAAATGTGACGATTTAATTGGTTTAACTCGTGACGCGACGGACGACGCGACGCGTGACGCGCTACGTGAAAACTCAGCCTTATAGAATTCATAGAATATCTGATCGTAAAGATTAAAACTGTTTATGCGTCCACCGCACTTGATTATATAAGATTCTATACTAACATGGCCCAACACAAATCTAGATGATTCGGATAATCTAACCGATTGTCAGAACAAAGACATGACCTAAATCCTTTGCGCTAGCAAATATCACAGTCGTAAAAGTCCTTATCTTTATAGCTGTAACAGATAAATTTATCGCGCTCATGTTTTTACACATCCAATACACACGGTTGCACTTAAAATCTTTTCTCACCAAAGGGCACATGACTACTATCTACCCCTTATTGCATCTAATAAGTGAAAACTTCGTCCTACCCACACTAAACTCTGCTTTTCCAGCCCAATTGTCGAAGTCGTAAACTAAGTTCCAAATCATTGGTTTATTCATTAAACTTACTCCTGAAAATTTTCTTCTGTCTTGGAAGAACAACCCTCGACTCTTTAAATATCGAGGCTCCACGCCGCGAACTCACTCTTTTCGTAGTCTTACTCAGTAAGCTGCCGACACTCCGACGCTTATTCTTAATTTCATGTGGTCCGGACTCCAAGTTGTATTCTGCTTTCGATACAATAGAGAAATCTTAGTTTTCCGCGACGCGATCAAATTAAAGATTCGGTGAATATCGATCTGGCCGTGAACCGAAACAAGGTACTCCAATCCACTCCAATCAGAGGATGCTCCGCTAACTGCGAAATCAGGACAGACCCAGATAGGGGGCAAGATATCAAGAACCACCGCACCAGTAGAGGCTATTTTGTCTGCCGCCAACACACCCAAAGAGAAAGTCGTACATTTTATTTTTTCTATCCATATCGTTGCGTCCTTGCTCATTTTTATTGCGACGACTCAATGAAGCTCTTGTCGTCTCCCTTGGGTTTCATATTAGATTTCGATTATTCTAGTGGGTTACGTTCTTCTCGGGTATGTTCTCGAGTATCTTACTCGAGTATGTTCTTCAATACTTTAACCGGATAGCACCGGGCCCCTCTGACCGCGAGTTCTGTATCGAGGTCACCACCGGGCGGTTGTTGAGCGTTATTTTGGAGCAACCCAGTGTTTTCCGGTCACATCTTGCCTTTTTTTTTACTAATTCAGACTCATTTCCTAGCCTTATCTCTCTATTATCTCACCTTTTACTCCTCCATAAATATATTTTCTTAATCCCTCATCACCATATATACACACACCCACGCACCCACGCACACTTCCACACGTATACACATTAATATTTGTCAAATCAGCGATGTTGCAATCTCGTGATTGTATTAACCCTTTGGCCTACAACCACGAGTGAGACTCGTGGTACTTCGTTCGGACCAAACATAAACAAGACGAGCCTGGCCGAGACTATGGCCCGAGCAATCGGGAGATAGCGTGTAGGTCAAGGGATTAAGAACCACAATGAATAAATTAGTTGTTGACACTAATTTTTGTTATTTATTATCAGGTAATTAATTTAATTCTAAATTTTGTTTTCCCCAACCTCTTTCCCTCTGATTATTTGCTCTAGGTCCTATCCCTAATAAAGAGACTTGTGTTGTTTTAATTTTGCGCAATATTTTTGAGCAAAATTTGATTAGCTACGCTCTGTATTCAGCCGCCATTATGCACAAAATTCATTTTGTTTTCTTGTATTATGGTATCAATTAAGTGTTAACTATTAAGTTTTAATTATTAAGTTATTAATATTATATTATAATTATGTTAACTATTTTACTAATATATATATATAGGATAATTTTTATAATTATACTATATATTATACTAATATAAGATAAGTTTTATTAATAAAGAATTACTAATTACTTGTTTGGAAAATTACAAATTATACATAATCAGAAATTGCTATTGGTAACTTTACTAGTTAATCATCGATTAGTTTAATCGGAGTTTGGTAAAAGTTATTCTAATATGAGGAGCTCCATCTATTAGATTTTTAAATATTACAATAGTTGTAAAATATCTTGTATATATTATACAAACCCTTTTTTAAATTATACTTTACCTGACAGACATACAGAAACTAATTCAACATTGTGTACTTTCATGGCATCTATTATATTCTTCAGACCATCTGATAATACAGTAGTAGGACCTGAAAATATATAGCATAAAATTGAAGAAATATATTTTTTCATTATTACATAATAATGAAAAAAGGTGAATATTAATTTAAATATTAATTTAAAAAATATATATGCTATATACTCAGATCATTTCTTGTTCCAAGCACGACCACAACAGCATCTCTACCAGTTATAGCTTTTGCAACTTGACCTGCGTTAGTGACATCTCCAATGACCGATTCAACTTTATTTTTAAGATCTTCAGGAATTTTGGTTTTGTCTCTTACAAACGCTCGTACTTCCAAATCTGTAATAAATTGTAGTAATAAATTCATAAAAAATTGGACAAACTTGTATATAATAGTTAATTCGTACAAATGTCTTTATTAAAAAAAAGCAATTCAAAAATATCCCAATAGGTAATATTTGGAATATCCCAGTAGAATATCGTGAGATATTGTAATTTCACGATACTCAAATATCTGACCATATTCCTTGATTTTCTTGTAAGATATCTTATGCATAAAGCTAAAAAATATAGTAAGATATCTCTCAAGATCGTTCTACATTAGTTGCAAGTTGATTGCAACTCTTATTGCCAATCAGAAGCGTCAGTAGCACCATTGATGCTTCTGATTGACTATCGCAATAAAAATTACATCTGCTTGTGACCGGCTTGCAACTAATGAATTTTGATTGATAAGTTTTTGGAATGACACATTCCACCTCCAATGCGCCATAAATTTTCAGCAGTGCCAACCTTAAAACCTCTCACTACACATTTGCAGACAGCTATGACAATCAATATATTTGTGACAGCCACCGAAAGCACATAACCTCCGATATGTGCGATCTGTAAAAATGGAAAAAACTGAAATTCGTGCAGTGATTAAGTATTTCTATTTAAAAGGTTTGCAACCGCAAGAAATAATTGAGGACTTCCAATAAACTTTAGGGGAGTCTGTTCCGTCGAATGCAACCGTATATAATTGGATTGCTGAGTTTAAACGTAGTCGTATCAGCAAATCGGGTGCACGACGCAGTAGTCGTCCAAATGAGGTGACTACACCAGAAATGAATGAAAAAATCCATGATATCGTGTTGGATGATTCCAAAGTGAAATTGCGTGAACTAGCTGCGGCTGTGGGCATCTCATCTGAACGTGTGTTCAATATCCTACAGGAACATTTGGATATGAGAAAGCTAATTGCAAGATGGGTGCCGTGATTGCTAACAATCGATCAAAAACATGAATGAGTTCGCACTTCTCAGCATTGTTTGGACACGTTTAGGCGCAAATCAAAGGAATTTTTGCGTCGATACATAACCGTTGATGAAACATGAATCCACCATTATACACCTGAATCGAAACAACAGTCGGCACAATGGGTTTCAAAAGGTGGAAGTGCTCCGAAGCGACCAAAGACGCAACAATCGGCTGGAAAGATTCTGGCCACTGTGTTTTGGGATGCACATGGAATAATCCTCATCGATTATCTTGAAAAAGGAAGAACAATCACAGGAGAATATTATGCATCATTGTTGGACCGATTGAATGATGAAATCAAGAAAAAATGGCCCCATTTAGCGAAGAAAAAAATTCTTTTTCATCAAGACAATGCACCAGCTCACCAATCGGTAAAAGCAATAGCAAAATTGAACGAATTGAAGTATGAATTGCTCCCACATTTACCGTATTCTCCAGATCTAGCCTCGTGTGACTTCTATCTGTTTCCAAATCTCAAAAGATGGCTCCAGAGAAAGAGATTTGCTTCAAATGAAAAGATTGAATGGGAAACAGACGCATATTTTGGCGGTTTAGAAACTTCTTATTATTTGGAAGGCTTAAAGAAGCTAGAAACTCGTTGAACTCGGTGTATTGACCTAAAAGGAAATTATGTTGAAGAATAAAGTTGAGTTTTGCTAACAAAATGTTTTTTTCATTTTCATTCTAAGGACTTATTAATTAACCTAATAGAACAACCTTCACACATATCATACGAATTATACCCCAGTAAGCAATCTGTGCGCAGACTGACGTCAGACTGTCGACAGGATCTGTCGAATCCGAGCAGGATCTGTCGACAGATTCATAGAGATCTGCGTTCCCAATCTGCCGCCAGACTGTTGACAGGATCTGCGAATAGACTCTAACGACAGACTGGCGGCAGATTGCGCGCAGATCCTATCGTTTCGTAGGTTCTTCAATTAAATTTTCTCATAATCTTTTATAATTACTCATAGAATAAGCGCTTTCTCATAAATACTCATAAAATACTATGAAAAAAAAGTGTCTTTATATTATTTTTTCATAATTTTTAAGATTTTCTCTGGTGAGATTCGAACTTGAACTGAAGACATCTTTTGGATAATCGTCCGTCGCCTTAGACAC